GAGAGAGGGAACACAAGCAGGGGGAGTGGGAGAGGGAGAAGCAGGCTTCCCGCGGAGCAGGGAGCCCGATGCGGGGCTCGATCCCAGGACCCCGGGTCATGACCTGAGCCGAAGGCAGCCGCTTAACGACTGAGCCACCCAGGCACCCCCGTAATTAGTTTTTGATGTAGTGTTCAGTGACTCATTAGCTAAGTATAACACCCAGTGCTCATCACAACACGTGCCCTCCTCAATACTCCTCACCCTGTTACGCCCTCCCCCGCCCCACCCTCTGAGACCCTCAGATTGTTTCCCGGGTTCCATAGTCTCTCATGGTTCATCTCCCTCTCTGATTTCTCCCCCTTTGCATTTCCCTCCCTTCCCCTATGGTCCTCTGTGCTATTGTTTATGTTTCACATATGAGTGAAACCATATGATAATTGACTTTCTCTGCTTGACTTATTTCACTTAGCATAATCCCCTCCAGTTCCATCCATGTCAATGCAAATGGTGGGTATTCATCGTTTCTGATGGCTGAGTAATATTCCATTGTATATATGGACCACATCTTCTTTATCCATTCACCTGTTGAAGGGCATCTTGGCTCCTTCCACAGTTTGGCTATTGTGGACATTGCTGCTATGAACATTGGGGTGTGTGTGCCCCTTATTTTCACTACAACTGTATCTGTGGGGTAAATACCTAGTAGTGTAATTGCTGGGTCGTAGGGTAGCTCTATTCTTAACATCTTGAGGAACCTCCATACTGTCTTCCAGAGTGGCTGCACCAGTTCGCATTCCTACCAACAGTGTAAGAGGGTTCCCCTTTCTCCACATCCTCGCCAACATTTGTTGTTTCATTTTGTTAATTTTTGCCATTCTAACTGGTATAAGGTGGTATCTCACTGTGGTTTTGATTTGTATTTTCCTGGTGGCTAGTGATGTTGAGGATTTTTTCATGTGCCTGTTAGCCATTTGTATGTCTTCTTTGAAGAAGGGTCTGTTCATGTTTTCTGCCGATTTTTTGACTGGGTTATTAGTTTTTGACTGTTGAATTTGAGAAGTTCTTTATAGATCTTGGATATCAGCCCTTTATCTGTAATGTCGTTTACAAATATCTTCTCCCATTCCGTGGGCTGCCTCTTTGTTTTGTTAACTGTTTCCTTTGCTGTGCAGAAGCTTTTTATCTCGATGAAGTCCCAAAAGTTCACTTTTGCTTTTGTTTCACTTGCCTTTGGAGACGTGTCTTGAAAGAAGTTACTGTAGCCGATGTCGAAGAGGTTACTGCCTATATTCTCCTCTAGGATTTTGATGGATTCCTGTCTCACATTGAGGTCTTTTATTTTATTATTTTATTTTTTAAGTGGACTCCATGCTGGGCTTGAACTCACGACCCTGAGATCATGACCTGAGCTGAGATAAAGAGTCAGATGCTTAACCGACTGAGCCATCCAGGCGCCCCTCACCATTTTATTTTTAATTATTAACCCGTATAGATAATATATGCACATGGGTAAAAATCTCAGAAGGCATTAAAAGTGAGTCTCCTTTCCTCTCCTTACCCAGTGAGCCTCCCCAGAACAACCAGGTTCTTTCATACCCTTCCACAGGTGGTTGATATAGAGATAAGCACACGTTTCTGTTTCTATTTTTACACCAATAGTAGCGTACTTTACAGTTACACACTTTTGCTTTTAGCATATACTATATCTTAGGAGAACATACATATAGAGCCGCCTCGTTATTTTTAACAGCCACGTATTATCTCTCTGAGTGGAATTCCAATGTACCATAATTTATTTAGCCAGGATCCTCTTGGTTTAGGTACTTTGCACTTACAGACAAAGCTGCAGTGAGTTCGTTTATGTGTCTTTATGCACACATGTGATTGTACAATGTAAGACAAATTCCTGAAAGGAGACTGGGCTCACTGAAGGGTTTCTGCATTTTCATAGTGAGCTGGGACAGGGATATGTGGTAGAAAATATTCTTGACCAGTGAATGATGAAGGGGAAAATGGAGTACCCCCTCAAGCTCCCAGTTTGCCACATGGCCTCCCCCAGAGGTCACTGCATCAGGAGGGTGTGAGAATGGCCGTTCCCACACCTTGGCCAGCACAGTGGAACAGAAGATATTTTTATCTTCACTGATCTGAAAGTTGAAAAAAAAATGCTGTCATTTTAGTTTGATTTTCTCTTATTATGATTGAGGTTGAGGTTGAAATGCCCTTCCTGTTTTCTTTTTTTAAAGATTTTATTTATTTGAGAGGGAGAGAGCGAGTGCACGCGTTAGCGGGGGAGGAGCAGAGGGGGATGCAGAGGGAGAGAGAGAATCTCAAGCAGACTTTGTGCTGAGCATGGAGCCCCATGCGGGGCTCCATCTTACCGCCCTGAGATCATGACCTGAGCCAAAACCAAGAATGGGATGCTTAACCATCTGAGCCACTCAGTGCCCCTGTGTTTCCTTTTCTGTGAGCAACATTTGCTCAATTTTATATAGGACTGTTGAGATTTTTTTTGTGTTAATTTCTAAGAGCTTTTTATATATTAATATAAATATATATAACATATATATATTTACATATATATGTTAACTCTTTGTCACGTGTATTCCACTTAACCGGTAACTATTTTATGGTCTTTGCCATTCAGAAGGTTTAAGTTTGTATGCAGTCGAGTTTCTCAGTCTTTTCTTCTTGGGCTTCTATTGTGTGGGATGCTCAGGGAGGCACACTTGGAGGGGCTGAGGGCAAGCAGTTGCAAGGCTGGGCTTGAAGTCAGAACATCTCAGATTTGGGTGCTGGTTCCATCATTTGGGCTTTGTCCTTTGGGTAAACCACTTTAACCTCTTGGAAGCCTGGTGTGCTTGCCCATGAAATGGGGTAAGTGATTCCTGCCCCACAGGTATGTTGTAAGGACCAAATAGGACCCCGCCTCCCAGTGGGACACCCCGTACCAAGGCCATGGCACCACCTCTGACTCCCCTGGTGCTTGTGAGGGTGGAGAAGCTTGCAGAGTGGGCGTTTGGGGGAGCCATAGGGCCTGCACCACACCCATAACCTTCCTCCCACACTGTCACCTCTGCCTTTTTACAAAGCAGTGCAGACCTTGTCTGGGGCTCCTAGAGGTGTATCTCTGGGAGTGGGGTGGGGAGGAAGGAAGATGGGTAGGGTCATTTGTGTTAAAATTTGGAGCCCGATCAAGGAAATGGTGGAAGAGTGGAGTGACCTAACTAGGAATGATGCGGCACTGTGTCCAAAAGCTTTAGCCTGATTCCGAGTTCCTCAGCTGCACACACCGGGAGCAGGTGGGTGAGGTCTGGGTAAAAGCTGCGACTGTCTGAAACCTCTAAGTCACGTCACTGCCTGTGAGTTCCTGAGCCCAGAGCTGTCCCCAAGCCAGGTGGTGAGAAGGTGACCGGCTGCCCCTGGAGATGGGGACACACTGGGAGAGGAGGGTGGTCAAGTCACAGAGGAGAACATTACACAGGTGGCTCATTTGGTCTTAGTTAAAGGTGCTGATGCTTGACATGGAAGGTAGAACCTTCCTTCTAATGAAAACATGTAAATCTTAGCTTAGCTATTCAGCCAGTTTTTGTGGGGAAGGGAATAGGTGGGGGAAGGGAGAGTCGGGGAGGGCAAGCTCCAGGCTCTTAGGGTGGGCAACACCTGGAGCCTGCCTCCCTCTCTCCCTCCCTGGGTCTTTGAGACATATGCTGTCAGTTACAGTCCTGGACCAGCAAAGTCAGACACACACACACATACACACACGCACGCACGCACGCACGCCCCGGGGTGCTGGGGAGGCCTGGCTCCAACCTCTCCCCCCAGGGAAAGAGACTCGGGAGAAAAGGGAGGATGAAGCACCATTTGGCAGAATTTTGCCTCTGTTGACTCTCTTTCTCAAAGCCAATAATAATTTTTTAAAAGCCGCTTTTGGTGGATACACCGATGACTGCTACCTCACGATCAGCCCGGCCCAGAGAAGCTTGTCTGTCCAGATGGGAGCTGGCCAGATGGGAGGCTGGCTGGAGGGAGGCCCGGCCCACAGGGGGGCGGGGGGCATAAGGTCTCAGCCCCCTCATCTCGGCAGCTGGGTGGTCAAAGTGGTGAAAACCCTGCTGCTGAGGATGGGCTGCTCGTATGAGGCCACCTTTCTGGAGGACCAGGGCGGCTGGGAACTCCTGGAGCAGGCGGAGAACCACCACCGGGGAGTGTCCCTGCTGGCCAGGTGAGGCTGGGACAGCAGGGCGCAGGGGGTGGGCAGAGGGAGAGATTTGGTTTGCATCTCTCTCTGGGCAGGACCCTTCCCTCAGTCCATCACCTCTTCTAAGCGGCGGGGTATGGTCTACCTTGGTGGGTGGCCGCACCCTCTGTGGGCACTAACTGTGGCTGGGACAGTGCTGGCAACTGCAGGGCACTTAGCTTCCCTACGTATGGGGGACTGTATGGGGACCTTAGTTCCTACACTCATACAGACATGGGGGCATAGCCGAGTAGTTCAGTGTGGCCTTGGGGCTGGTCGGCCTATGTCCGAGTCCCAGCCCACCACCTCTCAGCTGTGTGACCCAGGGCAAGTTCTTGCCCCTCTCTGTGTCTCAGTTTGCCCCTCAGTCATGTGGAAATAATAATAGGACCCATCTCCAGGGTTTAGGATGAGGGTTAAAGTACTCTAAACAGCCCCTGGTATATGGAAAGGGCTCAGCACAGGTTAGCTTTCACAGGTTATGCTGACTGGTGGGGCAGGGATTATCAGCCCACATTTTGCACAGCAGGATGCCAAGGTCCAGAGGGGGACAGCTGTGTATCAAAGGTCACACAGCCAGGAAGTGGCAATGCTGGGAGATGACCTGCTGACCCAGACCGGGGTCTTCCCTCGCCCCCATACACAGCCTCCCATGGGGTTGGGAAGGGGCACCTCGATTCCGATGATGTGGCTCCTGCAGGAACAGTCTGTTCCTTAACCTTGCACCCTGAGTGCCCAGGATGGTGCTGTCCCCAGGGGTCTCAGGACACAATTGCATTTATTGAGCACCTACTATGCTCTAGGCATTGTGCAAAGAGCTGTATGCTCTGCGCTCTTGGGCAAGCTTTTCCACTCTGAGCCTCAGGTTCCCCATCTGTAAAACAAAGCAGTTAAACTAGATGGCCTCTGAGGTCCTGTCCAGGTAGGAAATCCTGGAAACCCAGGAACCCCGGTGCCTCTGACTTGCTCAGACTTTAGGGTATCAGGCCAGGCCCTCCTACCCCCTAGCAGGTCCCCTGGGGCTGGAGAGCCTGAGGCTGCCCACCCTTCCTCACCCCCAGGGCCATGGTTCACTACTCGTGTCAGGAGCTGTGCCGCATCCTCTACCTGCTCATCCCGCTCCTGGAGCGAGGCGACGAAAAGCACAAGATCACTGCCACCGCCTTCTACGTGGAGGTACCGAGCGGGCAGCTCAGTACCGAGCTGGGTACCGAGTGGGCAGCTCCTCTGGGCGAGGAGCCTTGCCCAGAGGAGCCCTGGGCGAGGCTCCTCTCCGGCCTCCCCAAGCACACACATCAGTTCACATTACCGGTCATTTCTCCGGTGCGAAGAGTACTTAAAAATGGAGAGTTTGGGATCTCCCATTTGCTCCTCCTCTCTCCACCCCTTCACCCCATTCTACTCTTTCCAGACTCCCCCCGTGCCCGGGCAAGCCCCAACCTTTGCTGGGCACTGTCATGTGCTGAGCGCCAGACTAGAGATACAAGGTTGGAGGTACAAATATGAAAATGACTCTGCCCAGGCCTCAAGGAATTCTCAGTGTGACAGGGAAGCCCGAGGATGTCCCAATTATGAAATGGGGTGCCATGGAGTTACTTGTGCTCTGATGGGGACAGTCCACGCTGTGGTGGGAGAACAGGAGACTTGTGGTGGTGGTGGTGGTGGGAGCATCAGGGAGGGCTTCCTAGAGGAAGTGACATCTAAGCTGAGTTGAGTGTGTGGAGGGTACTAGGGGGCGCTGGGAGAGATGAATCAGGAGGTTGGTTAGGGTCAGACCCAGAAGAGGAGACCCACCAGCAATAATAGCTGAGCAGTTACTATCTTCCAGGCACGTTCTTAGAGTTTTACCCATATTGATTCATTTAATCCTCATAATAATCCTATGATGCAGATGCCATTTCATCCCCCATTTTAGAAGAGCAAACTGAGGCACAGATTTAAATCCATTTTCCAAGGCCACGCAGCTCATAAGTGGCAGACTCAGGATTCAAACCCAGACTCTTGGGTTCTCAAACCCACTCTCTCCCGCCCTGCCTCTCTCTCTTTAGAAAGAATCATGGTAAAATACACATAACGTAAAAGTTACCATTTTCGCCAAGGTTAAGTGTACGTCCAGGGGCATGACGTAAGCTCACACCGCCCGTGCAGCCGGCAACACCAACCACAGAACTGTTCATCTTCCTTCCCCAGTGCAGCCTCCGCCTCAAACTGAAACTGTCTCATGAAATACTACCTCCCCAGGGGGCCTCTGCAGCCCCTGGCGACAAGCATTCTACGTTGTCGCTATGAGCTTGCCATTGCAGGTTTCACTGAAGCTGAATCATGCAACGTGTCCTTTTGTGTCTGGCTTATTTCACTCAACATCATGTCTTCAAGGTTTGTGTATGTTGTTAACAGGGCTCAGAATTTCATTCTTTTTTAAGGCTGCGTAATACTCCCTTGTATGTATCTACCACACTTGGTCCGTTCACCTGTCCGTGGACCCTTGTAAAGCCCACTCTCCTAACTGCCACCTGTGCTGTCTCATGTGACCTGCTGGTTGTCGTGCTGGGGTCTGCGCCATCATCAGGGTCTGCAGTGCGGTTCAGAGGTAAGAGGCTCACTTTCTGCTCGGAGAGTAGAAGGTCAAGGAAGGCTTCCTGGAGGAGGTGCCATCTGAGCTGGGCCTTGACAGGTGAGTAAAGTTTGCTAGATGGACAGGAGGCAGCATGGCCTTCCAGGCATTTCCTGCATCTTTTCTGCCTCTCCAGCTGGACTGTGAGTCTGGGGAGGGGGGACCATGTCGTTTTGGCATTGCATCCCCAACCCCAGCCCTGAAAGCTCCCCAAGTAGGCGGATGGATGAGTGAGTGCCCTGTTGAACACTTGGCCTGGCCCTGCAGGCACCAGTAGAATGTGTCACTTCCGGCAGGGCAAGCTAGGGGCATGCTCAAGGAGTCCAGAGAGATTCTGACTAGGTCTGCCCGACTGGATCCTCATTTCCAGTCAGCCACTTCTCTCTTAAGTCTGTGAGTGGCTACCACTTGTGGTTCTTGGGGGGGATGGTGGTGGTGGCATCTTGCCAGACCTCAGGGGACACTCCCATGTCCACCCCAAGGTCAGGGGCGCTAGGCTTAACCTTTCCCGAACATTCCCCAGGGAACTCTGAGCAGTGGCCCTCCTCCCTGGAGCAAGTATCCTCAGCCAGGTTCAGTCCTTCTCCCGCGCCCCAGAAGAGGTGGGCTGCTCTCCGCCAGAGCCAGGCCGGCCACAGTCACTGCGGCACCTTGACGTAGCTCACATATCCCGCCCCGGCCTCCCCCGTCACCTACGCTGTGATCGTCTATGTGTGTGCTTGCTGCTCCCAACGGCAGGGGAACTCAAGGGAGCTGTGTGACCTCAAGTCCCGGAACCTGCCTGTGCCTCAGTTTCCTCATTTGCAATATGGGGATAATGAATTGCCCATCTTATAGGGTTTTTTTAATAGAGAGAGAGCACTAGAGAACTCATGCAAGCGGGGGGAGGGGCAGAGGGGGAGAGAGAGAGAGAGAATCTCCAGTAGACTCCCAGATGAGTTTGGAGCCCCACTCGGGGCTCGATCCCACGATCCTGAGATCATGACCTGAGCTGAAATCAGGAGCCAGACGCTTAACCGACTGAGCCACCCAGGCGCCCCAAGGGTTTTGATGAGGATTAAATGAGTACGTAAAACTCTTAGGATAGTGCCTGCATCTAGGAAGCATCGTCTGTGAGTCAGCTATATTGCTATTATTATTATTATTGATTATCATCAGTACTCTTCTCTACATCTCTAGTGTGCAGGCTGGAAACTGGTGCCGAGCGGGCCTGGGTACCAGTTGTGTGGCTGGGCAGAGCGAGGGCGGTGGGTGGAGCCTCTCCTCTACTGCCTCCTCCCCCTCTGGGCCACCGCCCTGCCCCTCTGTCCGGCCCTCTCTCCTTGTCCTACTGACTCGGGGTCTCAGTAGTCACAGTAGCGGTAAGGCCGGGGAATGGATGAGAGAAGTGTTTATGAGGATGACCAGGGAGGAACTGAAGACGAGTTGGCTGCTGCGGGTGGGAGGGTGGCGGGGAGAGGAAGGAGATGGGGGTGATGCCTGATTGAGGCTAGGACAACAGAGGGGTGGTGGTGCTAGACCTGGCAATGGGAACACAGGAGGAAGGGCAACTCTAAGGAGGAAAGGAACTGAATTTCATGTTGGACCTGAACTCTTGCACCAAAAGTGTCCCCTAAGCACACACTCTCCCCCAGAGCTTGTAACAGGTAACGGGAACCCAGGGAGTAACGGTCAGTGTTTGTCCTTAAGGAAGCCCCGGGAGGATGCAGGAGGCAGATGCATTAAGCAGATAGGGGTACTCAGGTTTCCATGTTCAGGGCTCCCAGGGGCCCAGAGAAGGAGGCAATCCACCCAGGTGAGGTGAGGTCTGCGGGCATTGTCAAAAACAGCTTCAAGGGGGGCCGAGTTTTAGATGGAGCCATGCAAGGTGAGTTGGGGCTGGAGTGGAGGTGGGCGCCTTTGCAGAAGGGCATCCTGCCAGCACAGAGAGGACAGAACAGCCTGGATCATTCCACAAGCAATGGGCAGCTTGGTTAGAAGCTGGTTGGTGGTAAGAGTGTGGGCTATAGGGTGGACATGGAGTGAATGAGGCCCCAGAGGCAAGCTGGGCCCAATGGCGAGAGGCAGTGGGGGGCACGGGGCTCTGAGCTAGAGGGTGACGTGTTCAGCCTTGCTATGAGGTGGTGATGGACATCGGGTGGTGATGGACATCGGGCAGAGATGTCTGGCAAACTGTTGGTTTTCCAAGTCGGAAGCTCCGGACAGCGGCACAGACTAGAGACAGTGACTAGGGTGTTACATGCCCGGGGACAGCAGTTAAAGTCCTGAGCAGAGGAGCTCATTGAGGACAGTGGGCAGAGGGAAGCCAGGCAGAGAGGACAGAGTTCAGCGTCACCAACACTGACGGCTGGGTGGGGACAGGAGTGAGTGGCTGTCATAACTAAACCAGTGCCATCCAATATGATAGCCACAAGCCACATGGGGCCTATTTGGCCCCCGAAATGTGTCTGTCTGAATTGAAATGTGTTTTAAGTTTAAAATTCACACCACATTTCAGACTTGGTTCAAAAAATTTTTTTCACAGAGTGTAAAATATATTAATAATGTTTATATTGATTATGTGTTGAAATGATAATACTTTGGATATACTGGGTCAAGTAAGAGGCATTACTAACATTAATTTCACCTATTTCTTTTTTGCCTTTTTAATGTGGCTCCTAGAAAATTTAAACTTAATGCACGTGGCTTGCGTCGGACAGCACTAACCAGATAGCCATCATTCATGCCCCACACTCAGCCCCTGGTCATCCAGCGAGCACTACCGGTGCATGGGGAGACGGGGGGCTGCCCTGCCCCTTGGCTCAGGGAGTAATTCCTGTTACTCCCGTAGCTTCTGCAGATGGAGCAGGTGCGGCGGATCCCGGAGGAGTACTCTCTTGGGCGGATGGTAGAAGGCCTGAACCACCAGGACCCCATCATGAAGGTGCTGTCCATCCGAGGCCTGGCCATCTTGGCCCGCAGGACTGAGAAGGTGAGCAGAGGGCAGAGGAGAGCCTGGCCCAGCCAGGCCCTGAGCTGGAGGAAGGAGGGAGCCTGGCCATCACTGACTCTCAGATGCTGGAATCCCTGTCTCTCCCTGCCTCAGTTGCCCCATCTGTAAAGTGGATAGCCTTTAATGATTCCCTATACACTTTATTCTTTTTGAAATAGTTTCTACTCCAGTTTTTTTCCACAGTAACCCTGAGGGCAGTATGTCTAAGAGGGGTTGGGGATGGCAGTAATTATTCCTATTTTATACATAGGAAACTGAGGCCCAGATTGTTGGTACATCTTAACATTTTCAAAAAGTGCTTTGTTTTCCTCTACCAGGCACTGTTGCGGCTCATGGTATAGAGGGATGAAGGGACAGGATGTAGACTCAGAAAGCTAACCAGCAATGCAGGTCCTCTACCGAGTGCCAACAAGGGGTGGCAACAAAGGGCCTCAGGTGTCCAGACCCGGAAGGGGTCAGTGAGGCCAAAGAGGACTTTGGGGACAACAAGAGCTTGAGCAAGGGCATTCCAGGCAGGTGGGATGGCATAACCAAAGGCCTCGGAGGCAGCACGTGCTCCACCAAGTTCATCTTAGTGAATCAGAGGCTGGGTCTCCCACCTGTCAGCCCCTACTGTCAGATAGGAGCCCGCATCCCAATGGTCCTGCCCCACAGAATGCCAAGGTGCAGGCCCTCCTACCCTCTATGGTGAAGGGCCTGAAGAGCATGGACGGGCTGCTGGTGGTGGAGGCGGCCCACAACCTCAAGACCATCTTCAAGGGGCAGGACCGGAAGCTGACGGACAGCTCCGTCTATGTGGAGATGCTGCAGATCCTGCTGCCACATTTCAGCGACGTAAGGGATCCCACGGTGGGGTGAGGGTGCGAGGGTTGGGGGGCAGCCCATGGAGGGTGGCTCTTGACTACTCTGGGGGCTGCTATAGTTCCGGTGGCCTGCTGAGGCAGGGCAGAGCGGAATCAGCCCCAGGGGAAGGGGCACCTTGTTCCAACTGGCCCATGTCTTTTGCACCGAGAAAGATCCTTCTCTAATCAGTTCTCACAGAGAGAGCTCTTTTGTAATCAAGTCTCGCCAGACAACTTGCCTCATTGCAATTGGCCCACCTAGAGGGGGGCACGTGTTTTTGATGCTTCCAGCAGAGGGGGGCATTTTCCCACTTGGCACTAAGGCACCTTTTAGGTTAGCAGGGGGCCCTGGCTGGGGAGAGCGGGCAGAAGTCCAGAGCTAGGCTCCAGTGAGGGAGGCGCTGGCCCCAGATCAGCCCCACCCGGTGGCCTCCACCCTGCTCCATCTCTGTGTGTCTTGTGCCTGGAGGGTCCCCCAGAATGAGTGGGAGGAAGGCCGCATGCCTCCATGTGGGGCTCAGAGGCCCAGGCAGCCCCTTGGAGGAGGGAGCATGCCTGAGCCTCGGGATCTGCCCCAGTCTCGAGAGAACGTGCGCTCCTCCTGCATCAACCTGTATGGCAAGGTGGTCCAGAAGCTGCGGTCGCCCTGCACCCCAGCCATGGAAGAGCAGCTGATCAGCACCTTGGTGCCCCTGCTGCTGATCATGCAAGAGGGCAACGCCAAGGTGAGCCAGGTGAGTGTGTGTAGGCAGCGGGCCCTGTGGCCGAGCCTCCCTTTATGGAAACCAAGCCAGAATCACTAACCATCCATTATGGACAAGCCTGTGTTCCAAAGGCACCATGTCAGAATTCCTCCTCAAAATGGACAACTTCACTTGTGCCTTTCAAATAGGAATTGATTTTTCTAGAATTCAGTTTCACAAAACCCTTTTTTTTTTTTTTCTGGAAGATGTTCTGGCTGTCCTGGAATTCCCCATCTCTGGTATTGTCTTCCTATTGGTCCCCAGAAATGTATAAAGACCCTGTTCCGCTGTTCTTGCATCATGGCATGGGAATTGCCAAAAAGAGCTTATAGCCGGAAGTCCTGGGACAACCAGCCGCAGACGGTGGCCAAAATATGCAAGTACCTTGTGAGTGCTTTCAAGACCACAGTGGTTCCCGACGAGCGTGTTGGAGGTGGGCAAAGCTTTCCCCTTTCCTCTTCCTTCTTTCTGCACAAGCATCCTGACCGGCAATTGCACTATTACCCACACCTTGTTGGCTCCTAGACATTCATCTGCATTTCTGGCTTCTCACTTCTGGTGTCCCTCTCTGGTGGCTTACCGGACACGTCCCCGCTGACCCACACACGCTTCAAGCTCGACATGCCTCTTCTGAGCTGATGGCCTTCCCATTTCAATTCTGCTCTGTCCCTCTAGATCCCCAAAGCAGAAACCTAGAATTACCCTAGACTCCATCTCCTCCACCTTCCACAATCGATCAATCTGAAATATCCTAAACATCTCCGCATCTGTTTTCTTTCGCTTCCTGTCCCCACGGTCCTTGCCCTTAGTTCAGGGCACAGATGTCTCCCAGCTGGGCTGTGGATCCAGCCACCTCCGGCTCTCTCTGCCTTGAACCTCATCTCTTCCGATCCCATTCCCACTCGGGCCACCAGAGCAGTCTGCTTCAAACACGAGTCTGTCTGTGTTATTTCCCTGTTTCAGGAGCTTCACTGATTCCCTGTTCTGCATCAGCATTTCCCAGGGTGTATTCTCTGTGACACCCACCCCACAGGAAATGCCCCACAGGGGAGAAAAGAGGCTCTAAGATGAATAAGTTTGGGAAACACTGCCTCGCCATCTTCCTCTTGGGGGTTTTCAATCCCTTTGGCTCACTAAAGGCTCTGAGATGGTCTGTACTGAGATGTTCCATGGTTGTTGATCCATGGTTTCCCAAACTTATTTAACCACCAAACCCCCTTTCTAGGTAACACGTGAGGGCATCCTGAGGTAGGAGCAGGCCACCCGTACTCCATGGAATGCACACTGCAGGATGCAGCCCAGTCCCTCTGCACACCATTTGGGAAGCTTTGTTCTAAGTTCCACCTACCTACCCTGCTGTCACAGGCACCCCAAGACGCAGACTCAGGGACAGAGATTAGCATGCAGGAGGTTTATTTGGGCACGGCCTTGGGATCGACACCTGTGGAAGGGAGGGCAGGGACAGGAGGAGAGGTCAAGCTGCAGTGTAGCTTTGGGGGAGGTCTCAGCCACTGCTGCAGTGAGATCCCCCACATTTGGGGCCAGGGGCCAGGTCTTTATACCCCCGTGTCCATTTGTTACCGGATGCCAGCCACCCTGGGAAAGGGACGTGACCTTGGGCCGGCAGTTCTCTTCCTCGGAGGCAGTCCCCAGTGTTGGGGGAGAAATCCTTCACACCAAAGGGAGACCTGGGTGGGGCACGCCAGCACCCCCCACAGCAATCTAACGAAAATATGCAGAGTCACAGATGGTTCCTAGGATTAAGAAAAGGGCTGGACACCACCACTATCAGTAATGCTCAAAACCTCTGCAGTCCAGGGTCTAATATTATTCCCGTCATTTCATGAGGGAAAAAGAGGCCTAGGGGCGGTGTTTGGCCAGGGCGCTAATTCAAATACCTCCAGCGACCAGGGAACGGGTGGAAAATGATCATGGGTGACACAGAAGCGGTGGGACCTCTGGCAACATGGAGGCCAGGCCCTGTTGAAAGCATGAGTGGGTGATCCTGCTCACGGTGCAGGCCGCTCTTGCCAGCAACTCTGCTTTCACAAGAAAAGCTAGAGACCCAGATTTTTATAAGACATTAATTAGCAATCAATTTAGCTTGTTGAAAACACTGTGCTGGTCACTGCTCTGCCAACTCTTCATGGTTTGTGGGCTGTCGGCTTGTGACCTCTGTGTTAGGCCCTTCTAGAGTCTCTCTTTTGGCTCTTCCAGCATCAACAGATTTGCTCATGTGAAGGTCAACTTCTAGCCTGAGCTTTAAGGAGGGGGGCAGTAACCCATTAATTAATTAATTAATTAATTAATTCATCCATCCATCCATCCATCCATCCATCCATCCATCCATCCAGTGCTTTCTGGGCAGCTCTGCCACACCAAGCTTTGTGTCCAGGAAGCTGCGGACTTGGAGCTGAGTGAGCTGGCCCCTTCTCTTGGGGGAGCTCTGGATCTGGCGGGGGAGATAGGTATAAATAATCACAGCACAATGTCATAGGTGACATGACAAGGGCTGTGCAAGATGCTGCAGAAACGTGAAGAGTGGTGAGAGCCGCTCTGCCTGAGAGTTGTGAAAGGCTTCAGGGAAGGGGTGGCTTCTGAGCTGAGCCTCAAGGGATGAGAGGGATCCATCAGATGAAGAAGAGAGGGAGGGGCACTCCAATCGGGAGCAATCGCTTGTACCAGGCACAGAGCTGGGGAGAGCCGGGCCACATCCTGGCACTGGAGCAGAGTGTGCATACCAGGTAGAGGCATTGGTGGAAACTGAGGCAGGGGAGCATGATCATGAAGGCTTTGATGCCAGGCCCAGAGTTTACTCCCTGACATGCAGATTGTCAACAGGAGAGTAATCGTATCAGATTCTTCTTCATCTCCCTCCACAGCGTCTTAGCAGAATGCCTGCCCCCTAGTTTCTACTTGATCAAACTCATCCTGAACACCACCGTCAGACTATTTTGCCCAAAACATTGCTTTGTCATTGCTCTATCAAGAATGGATTCTGGCTTCCTACTTTCTGATGCATAAGTAAGCCTTATTCCTGTCTGGCTTTTAAGGACTTTTAAGACCTCTCTAACTCTCTAATTTATTCTTCACTGCACTGTAACTTGAATTCTTCACCCCCATCAGACCTGTCTCCTTATCCATCATGTCCCTTGCATGCCATGTCCATTCTCACTTGGCTGGACTTCTTATTTTAGAACTTTATTTTGACTTGCAGCAGGGGGTGGACTGGAAGAGGATACACTCAAGGCAGGAAGACCATGGAAAGGATTGTTGCAATCCACTAAGAGAAGATGAGGCCTGGCCTCTGGGGGCCTCAGGCGGAGGCCAGGATGGGTGGCAGAGAAGTTTAGGAGGCGAGGAGCCAGGGCTCGGCTGCCTGACAGGGTCACCATTCCTAGCTTTGGGAAGGGTGGATGGGCGATTAGTCCCTCCGAGGGACAGCACTCTTGGGCTTTCTCTTTGTCCCAGGTGACTACACACCAAGACAGCACCTTCACATTCCTCAGCCAGAGCCTGGAGTATGCCAAGAATTCCCGGGCCTCCCTCCGGAAGTACTCAGTCATGTTCATAGGTAACCTGGCAGAACTAGTTTTGCTGCTGGGACTCTGCCTGCCCTCCATTTTGCTTCCTCCCCTTGGAAAGAAGCTGCCAGTCCTTCTGGCACCTGGGAAATGCCTCCCTTGGGTTCAAGGCTTGGCCAGCAGACAGTCATGGTGCAAATTAGAAAGGTCTTCCCTCCTCTAAAATCCCTGCTTGGGAACTGGGCCACAGGGTGGATCCAGCCTGGAGTCCTTGTGCAGGTCACAACCTTGGCAACTGTACACAGCGGAACTGCTGCTTCCTGCCCGCCCCTCCCACCGCTAATACAGCATGGCTCCAGGCCCAGCGGGAGCCTACCATTGACTGTGTCAGGAGGGGCCAAGCTGTGCAGTAGAAAGAGTGAAGTAGAATCTCAGCTCCATGATCCCCTTTCCATGTGACCCCAACCGAGTCATTTACTGCCACTGAGCCTGTTTCCTCACCTGTAAAATGGGGATTAACTCCTGTTTCACAGATCAGATGAGAATATTTTTTAAAAACGTGAAGCCTGGCTAGTCAAGGTACTCCCTCAACATAGCTCACTCCACATTTCCCATAATCCCAACCTCTGCCTTTCTGGGGAAAAAACAACTAGATTCCCCTCACTCAGAATCCCCCACTCTAGCCCAGAGCCTTCTGATGGCATGTGGGAATATCTCCTCCCAGCTACTGCCCTCCCCTCCCCCCAAATAACCACACGCTCTTCACCAGGCCCAAGAGACCCCACTGCCCAGGAGCTTGGAGAGGATGACCTTCCCATTCCCCACTTCGAAAAGCGATGCTTCTTTTGGTTCCTTTCCTCAATTCACTTGTGGTTTTCATCGGTCCAGTCACCCATGCACCCACTCACTGGTTCAGGTAGCAAACATTGCTTGATGCTCCACTCTGTGTCGGGCACCGTGCCTAGTCTAGAGAAACAGAGAACCCTTCCGGAGGTGATGTGGATGGCAGGGGTGGGGGTGGGGCGCGTGTGCTGTTAACATGATCCAGGCAGGGACAGAGGAGCAATGCCCAGGACCGGGGGCATCCCTCAGACTGTGGGGGCCTGCTCAGAGGCAGCTTCTCACACAGAGTGACATTATTCCCTAGACGCTGACTTCTCTAAATCGTGCTCCATTTAATCACATCTAAAAATGTTAGTGTTTAACCCTTTGATTTCTCACCTCTTGTGCGTTCGTGAAACCCTGAAGAAAGTTATGAATGCTTTCGCTAGAAAAATGCATACATGCATACAATTGTGCGTGTGATTTAAGATCCTCAGAGACTGCCCTTCCCACTTGCCCACCTCGAGTGCATCTAAGCGGGAGACCTCAGGTCTGGTGGGAGCGGTTCATAGGTCACAAGGTATATCGCAGTATATACAGATGAAGGGAAACTCAGGTGCTCTGAGAACCCAGAGAGGCACCTAACTGAGTTTGGGTGCAGGGTCAGGAAGGATTTCCTGGAGAAGTAATTATGGTAAGCTGAATAGTCAAGGATAAATAGGAATGAGCCCGGCAGAGAAATGTGGGAAGGGCCTAACAGCAGGCCACATTCACGGACCTGCAGGTGCTTTGGGAACCAGGCATGCAGGCAGGGAGCGGGGGAGGGCTGGACAAGGTGGCCAAGGAACAGAGTCTCAGGCCTTCCAGGGCCCCACCAACCACCTGCCTGAAAGGTATGCGAGGCACTGTGTCCTTCTCGCATGCATGCTGCTCAAACTACCTGAAGGGGGGCAGCTGAGGCAGCACTTCCCCGAGTCTCAGATCAGGACACTGAGGGCCAGCCTGGGTAAGGGACCACTGTCAGAGTCAGCTGCAGCCCAGATCCTGTCCCTGTCCTGGTGCCATCCCTGCCCTCTGGACCCGCCACCTCTCCCAGGACCCCTCGTAGAGAATCTGTCCCAGGGTCAAAACGAAGTTCTCCTTTTATGTCCTCATTCGTGGGACTCAAGAAGGGTGGGAGAGTTTCTCTTAGGAGGTCTGGTCTGAGGGTGGGGGTCAGAGTCAGGAGGTGGATGCACTAACCTCTTGGATTACACTCAAGGGTCCCTGGTCCCCTGCATGGAGAGCATAATGACAGAAGACCGTCTGAATGAAGTTAAAGCAGGTAAGTCATACCCTACGTCTTTGAGATCTCAGGGGGCCGGTGAGAGAATGAGTGGGCTCACAGTGGGTGACAGGAAACAGAAGAGATAGGTCTCGAAGCAAGTGGCTTCAGCTCAGCCCAGCTGTGCTAGTCTTTATCCACAGTGAGTAGTGTTAAGGGGTCACCAAGACACACAATACACAGCCCCACCCTAGGGGAGTTTACAGTCTAGGAAACCAGACTAGAAAATAAGCCCCAAACCATTTCGTGCAGGGTGAATAGTTCAGACTCTTACTGGGGCAGATTAATTTTGTAACTGGGGAAACGGATGGGAGCCTGAGGCTGGAGCAGTCCCAGAAGGCTTCCTGAAGGAGGCAGTTTTGATTCAGGCTTTGAAAAGCAGGAACGGTTTGAAGAGCTGGGAGGAAGGTAAGATGAGGGGACGCTGAGCAGAGTGCCTGAGCCAACACACAGAAGTGAGAAGGAATGATGAGTGTGAGACCTATGTGGGGACCTGGTCTTAACAAGCGGCCTTTCCCTTCCCCGTGACCCAGCTCTGGAAAACCTGAGACACGACCCAGAAGCATCAGTGTGCATCTACGCGGCCCAGGCCCAGGACCACATCCTGGCCAGCTGCTGGCGGAACTCCTGGCCACTACCGCATGGGGACTCGTGGGTGTGTGACCCGGCCACCACGCACCGCTGGAGCCCCAGCTGTGAGAACCTGCCCACTTCCCACCAGCAGCGCTCCTGGATCATGCAGGCCCTGGGCTCCTGGAAGATGTCCTTGAAGCAGTGATGTCCCTGAGCCCCCAGCCCTCCTCAGGGGTGGCCAAGGCCAAAGTCATGCCCCTATAAATGCCACGTGGCTTACCTCTCCCTGTGAGTGTTTCCTCATGGGAGGCGCTGTGGCTCTGTGCGACTCATCGGCAAGATGAGCGTGGCCTTCACTGTTGACTCGGTCAACATCTACAGACTCACACAGGCTGTTTTGTCCACATTTTATAGGTGGGGAAGCCATGCTCTGAGAGGTGAAGTGGCTTCCTCATGGCCACAGAGCAAGTCTCCTTCCTGCCTCAGTGTCCCCTCCCCCACAGGGAGGGTAGAAGAACAAAGGGGGATGGTGATTGGAGTGGCTTTAGGGGAAGGAAAAGGAGAGACTCTCCCACCCCATGACATCGGCACATCCTGGAGCCCTGACCTCTGAGTCCCACTCTTGGGTCTCTGCTCGGAGATTGGCTCTCTCTCATTCGGGTCACATTCACTGAGCACCTAACCTGGACCAGGCCTGCTCTGGGTGCTGGAGGAGAACAAGACCAGTCCCAGGCCCTGGTAATTCATACTCTGAAGCAGGGCTTCTCAAAAGGGGTGATTTTGACCTGTGGGGAATATTTGGCAATATCTGGAGACATTTTTGGTTGTTGGATGGAGCCCAGAGACGCTGCTAAACATCCTACAGTGCACAGGACAGGCCCCACAGTGAAGAATTATCCATCCCAAATGGCCAAAAGTGCTGAGGTTGAGACACTTTGGTCTAATGGAAGTATCAGAGACATGGAAAGACACCAACACCCTAGTGCGGTGATGACGGAACTCAGGGGAGCTGTGAAGTCCAAAGGATGTACATAGGCCAGCAGGGAGTTGGGGTGTCAGGGAAGGCTTCCCAGAGACAAGACCCCCCATTAGGGGGCTTGGAAAGATGACCACATGGTGGGCGTATATGGAGGAGAGCAAGGCACACGGGACCGAGGACCAACTGCTGATACGTAGGTTCAGTGGATCCTAGAGTGCGTGTGGGGGGAGATCAGGGCCAGGGCCAGGTCCCTAAGGCCTTGGAGGCTGTGTGAAGGAGGGAGACTTCAGGGAGCAGCGGGAAGGCATGGTGTGGTGTTAAGCCAGGGAGAGATGTGTGCAAATATCGGCTTTAGAAAGCTGCTTCCTCTAGAGGATCAGGAACCCCACAGACACGGCTGGTGGGAGGGCGGATGGCTGCAGCCCTCTGGACATGAATCTGTCACTGTTCAGTGGTACTAAGTTTATGCATGCTGTCACCTGGCAATTCCACTCGTGAGCACACACCTTGGAGCTTGTCCCACAGGTCCGTAAAAGAGACGTGTGAGGAAGTCTCCTGCAGCATTATTTGTAGTGCCCGGGAGAGGAGGCAGCCTGGGCATCCCTGGTCGGGGAGGGAATGGGCACCGTGGAGCCCGTGCAGCAGTTAGAGGCCGAGGGGGTATGTGGTGCAACACGTGGGACCTAAAACCTCCTGCTGAGGAGGAAAGTACATAAAAAAATGCATGCACAAAAGAAGTCACATTTTGCAAGAACACTTACAAACTGAAAATACACATTAAAACACACAGTGGTGGGAGGGAGTAAGGAGGGATCTGGGACATAAAGGGGAATAAATGACAAAAGGGAGGGGAAGTACACTCACTCTGTGGTGGAAGGAAAGCAGGGGGAGGGCAGTGAATAAGGACACAGGGAGGCTTGGCTGGAGGCTTGGGGGAAGGAATGGAAGTCTGGACAGCAGGGTAGGATGGAGACGGAGACTGGACCTTCAGGAGATGGGAGAAGAGGAATTTTCAGAACCTGGTGGTTGACAGGATGGAGAAAGGGGGAGGGAGAGTGAAGTGCTGAGGGTGGTGCCTGCATTTCTGGGCCGATGACTGGGTCAAGGGTGTCCCCCACTGGGTGGTCTCTCGGGACCAGAAGCAGGTTCAGGGGGAGAGGAATTCAGGCTGGATGTGGTGAGCTTGAGGGGCTGGGCGTCACAGTGGTAGAGACATCTGCTGGGTGGCTGGCTGCATAGTGGGAGGCTCGGCAGAGGGACTTGGAATGGAAACAGGTTTGGGATTCCTCGCAGACAGGGCTGAGGTGAGATTCCCTGGGCGAGGGTGTAGAGTACATCTAAGCTCCTGCTTGGATGAGGAACCCATGAAGTTGACCACACAATCATCTGCCAATAAATGATAGGCAAAGACCATCAGGGCCTACGAGGGAGCAGGAAATGGGGGTGGTCCATGTGCATAACCTTTTCCGTTGCCAAGAATGTTCATGAGCATGGCCTGTTTGGAGGCTCACAGCAGCCATATGGAGTTATGGAGAAGGCAAGCTGGCTTTACTGCCTGTGTTCTACAGGTGAGGACAGGGCTTGATGATGAGTGGGCCTTGTCCAAGATCACGCAAGAGAATCAATAGAAGTGTGGGTCCCAAAGGTCTCCCAACTCCCATGTCGAAGCCCTTCCCACCCAAAGACACTGCTGCTTTCATTGGCCAGAACATAGGTCTGGGCTGGTCTTGACAATCGACAGCTGCCACATTCTGGGTCCGTGTGGCTTCAAAGCATAACAGAGGCTGACAGTGTCAGTAATTGGCCAAGGCCCCCAAGTAGTCTTGAGTGGGAAGGGCCCAAGAGCACTCAGCAAGTCACTTCCCTCACTTCCTGAGCCTCCCCCATGATCACCTGTAAAATGAATTCTTGCCTCACAGGGTTTTTTGTTTTTTTTTTAAGATTTTATTTATTTGACAGAGACACAGCGAAAGAGGGAACACAAGCAGGGGGAGTGGGAGCGGGAAAAGCAGGCTTCTTCCGGAGCAGGGAGCCTGATGCGGGGCTCGATCCCAGGACCTGGAATCATGACCTGGGCTGAAGGCAGACGCTTAATGACTGAGCCACCCAGGCGCCCCACCTCACAGCGTTTTATAGGAATCAAAACATGGAAGCCAAGGGGTTTGTAGGCTCTGTACCCAAGAAGGGAAAAGACAATGAAGAGGAGAGTAAGAATGGGAACCATTAGGGAGCAGGCTGGAGGAGGAAGTGTGGAAAAGGAGGCTCAGATTTGGAGGAGAGGAGGCCCTTGGACCAGGTGTTCTGCTGGGCATGGGTGGGCTAGAAGGGGAAAGACACAGGTGTGGTCCTGGAAGGCTCACGGCCCTCTGTACGTCATCCTTAGCCCTGCTGTATCTCTCACCCTGGGATCAGATCATGACCAAGCCTGCCAGTTCCACTGCTGGGCCTCCCATCTCTTCTCTTCCCTGGTCTCTTATCAGCAGCCTTGTCAATCTCTTAATCCAGCCTCCCCCCATCAATCCTTCACCTGGCAACCCAGGCCTTCCTAAAACAAATTTGCCCTTAGGTCTATCACTGGCTCACTATCCTCTGCAAGATAAAGGGCTACAAGATAAAGGCCTGACTGCCCTCTGGCCCCCATTCAGCTTGCTGGCCTTTCCTCTTGACTTTTATGGTACCCAGCATGCCAGGCTCTTGCACACCACCATGCCTCTCTGCACAGGGACTCTGACAGCTGCCTAAAATGCTCAACTCCTTTCCAGCCTCCAACCATCTGGGGAGACCTTCCTCATCTCTGCTCTCAGCTCTGCAGAGAACTTGGGTCTGTGAAATCTTGCTGACTCCCCGAGGTAACACCCACCCTTCTGTGCCTCCACTGTGCAGACTTGTGGAAGTGCTTTAGATTGGCCTGCTGCCTATCTGCCTATCTGCCTAGCCTTCTAGACCAGGCTGTGGGCTCCCTGAGCCTATAGCACCCATGGCTGTGGGAGGGCGCACCTGGCCTGGAGATCTTGTTTCCATCTCAGCTGGGGTGGATAGGGAGGTGGTTAACCTCAGAAATAGGCATGGCTGATCACATAGCCCCTTTTCTTGAAACTCTTCAGAAGGTACCACTGCACTCTTAGGAAGACCCAAGTCTTCAGAATCACTACCCATCATCCCTCCTACCTCACCTACTCACCCTCCTTCTCATTTTGCTCCGGCCACCCCCACCCCCAGCTCCCCTCCCTGGGGCTGGGCACTGCCAGTCCCCTCCCTAAAGAATGCTCCTCCCCAGACAGGCCCTGGCCACTCTGGGATTCCTCCTTTGCTTGAATGCATGTATACCCAGTTTAAACTGCACCCCCACCCCCTCATTAGGGACACCTGAGTGGCTCAGTCAGTTGGGTCTCAAACTCTTGATTTCGGTTCAGGTCATGACCTCAGGATCGTGAGTTGAGCCCGCATCTGTCTCCCTGCTTAGCGCAGAGTCGGTTTGGGATTCTGCCTCTCCCCCTCTGCCCCTCCCCCTGCACACATGCGCACTCTCTCTCTCTCTCAAATAAAAAATCTTAAAAAAATAAAATAAAAACTTTTCCCCGATAGCTTTTTCTAGCACCTGACAACCTCTTACATCTTATTTGTTTACTGTCTGTCTTTCCCCACTATCTTATCAACTCCTGGAGAGCGGGGTTTACCCAGCGACCACAATAGGCCTGAACACACAAAGAGCTTAGGAAACATGTATTGACTGGCTGAACAAATCAGCGAATGAGGGGCGCCTGGGTGGCTCAGTGGGTTAGACGTCTGCCTTCCACTCAGGTCATGATCCCAGAGTCCTGGGATCGAGCCCCGCATCGGGCTCCCTGCTCTGCGGGAAGCCTGCTTCTCCCTCTCCCACTCCTCCTGTTTGTGTTCCCTCTCTCGCTGTGTCTCTCTCTGTCAAATAAATAAAATCTTTAAAAACACACACACACAAAGGAACTAAGTGATAGTGGGCACTGTGGGGCGCCGGGTTTATCCACCACCCCAAAC